GAACAATATTTAGGTACCAGTACTACCATGACTAAGTCGCACTTTGTGAAGAGAAGGAAGTTGTTTAGAGATGAATAAAGCAGGGAATTAGATCTAGAAGTTTCCCTTCCAAATCACCAATTATCTTCGACCACAATCTGACTTAACGTCATGTACCCACTCTGGGATGACTTACTCGTCCCAGCGGGTTAACATGAACATCACTTCTACTGCAAAAACGCACTCCTGTTGGAAATGACTAACACAAGAACCGAACGTGGGTAGATATCTCTACATATCCCACTCAGGGGCAGCACTGTCAGTGAGGAGACATAAGCAGCTCAGGAACAGATACTTGTTTCAATGCATTTGGACTAATCAAAACAGCACCTTATGGTGAGGTTGAAACAACAGGACTTTTTCCTTCCCATTTCATTGTTCACCTTTGTTGTGTTTTTCTTTTAATACTTCCTGCTGGTATGAATGAAATTCATTCTATACAGTCCTACTTCTGCAGGATCCAAATTATTAGCTCTGTTGCTGTAGCATGACAAAAATCTGTACTGAAGCCATCCAGTCCTAGCTGCTGAAGGCCTGGACATAAAGTTCAGACATGCATATAAAGTTCAGTACAGCACATGCAACTTACCAATAAATTTGAAAGTTTTCTTACCGCTCAGGAAAGGAAACTGCAACTCAAGCTACTTAAAAACATATTCTCAAAGTGCCTGTGTTTTTTATTCTTCCGAGTTTGCCTATAGGTATTTCCCTAAAGCAAAGACAAACAGCTTAGACAAACAAAATTTGTTATTCAGTCACTGTGAGCTCCCAGCATACTTTCACGTTATTTACTGTAACTAAGGCAAAAAAAAAACCCAGCTTTGCTAATATGAAGGCCCCTTTTATTTATTTTTAACTACACCTATCTCATTCAAGTATCAAAAGAAATTTCAGATTTCAAATCATACCTATTAGCATCGATATTAGCAGTGCAAGGATTAACAAAAGCCTAACCTGGACAGAAACTCATTACAGGTATATTTATAACACAGTTTGGAATAGCTAGTATATTTAAAGCAGCAGCACCCAAAGAACATGCTTGCTCAATCCTCTACAGACTTAAGCAGCAACAACTCTCCAAGTGCTTGATACAATCATCATGTAGCAGCCCACCAGACACAGTCCCTTCATTACACCAATTAGGAAGGAAATATATTTGAATGAATCTCTAAGCAAAAACCTCAAATATAAACCCATTACAGAATAGAGTTTTGCAATCCTAAATCCCTTGGGCTATGCCTGTACAAATGAGCAGGGACTATATCTGCTCTACCTGTAGTTCAAGTCATCTAGATGCAAGCTAATGCTACCAAAAGCTCTGCAGCTGCATCACTACTACAGTGACATTTTTTGCTTGAGTTAATACACCTGATGGATAAGCTCAGTAGTTTCAGCGTGACGCTTCGCCATGGACTCAGTTCTTTCATCAAGGCTTATTAATTCAAGCTCAGTGCCACATTAACACAGCTATACAGCTTCTGCACCGGAGCTGGCTTACAACTGGCTGGCTCCAAGCACAGACAGAATGAAAGTACTATCTACACAAACCTGAAAACATTGTTGAAAATGGCAATGCATTCTTTTTTTTAAAAAAAACAAACTTCAACTGCAAACTCTTCTCATTTTCCAAGTCACACAACACTTTACATCCCAGAGATAAAGACTGTATGAGAAACATAATGCAGTAACTGGTCACTGCCTTAAGAACTGCACAGATTGCTTCACGCACAAGCGCACGCGCGCAGGCACAAACACACACACAGAGTTTTCTGCAGTTGAAAAAAAATGATGTGCCAAGACTTCTGTTTCAGTATACGCCTAAAGACTTTTCAATTTAAATCCAATTTCGAAATGCAGTATATAACTTCAAGCTTGTGAAGACTAATTCAATTTCAAACCTGAAAGTACTTTTTGGGAACTTTTCAGGGAGAACTTTAGTTAAGAGGAAATAACCTTCCTTTCTCCTTTGCTAGGAAGGAGGTTGCACATTGGATGCAGCAGAGTGGAGGAGGAATTTCAAGTGCAACTGGTATGAAAAAAATACTGACAACTCAAAATATAGAAAGCATCATTTTTAATTACATTACAAAACATCCCTAAATTAAAAACATGCTTATGTATCAAATGAGGGGTGAGGGCACACTTATTTCCAAATGAAGTGAGGGTGGTTCAGGTTTTCTGGTTCTGGGGTTGTTTTTGTTTTGTTTTTTACTTTGATGTCTGTTTAATGTCAGTGTAGGAGCAGCATATGGACATTGAATATTATGTATCACAACTGAGCTGTCACGTTATTGCCTTGCAGCGAAGCTGGCAGAACAGAACACATGTTCACGTCTCCGCTGTTTCCTGTTCTCAATCCACAACATCAACCTAAACTACAGGTGAGCTTGCTGTAGTTTACAGAGTAAAGCTGGCTTTGCTATAAGGCATTAGACTGTGATAAATGTATCTGAATTGCTTCTGCACTTTAAGCACTACTATAGGGGACAGCAGTGTCCAGCAGAAGGCAGGGAGTACGTGACGTGCGTGGAGAGGTGCAGGGAAGAGGAGAGGAAGTGTGCTAAATTGCTAGAGCCTTCCTGCTCCGCGGCCATGAGTCAGAACCCCCAACGCTGTTTCTCAGTGCTCAAAAGGAAAACTGAGGTAGTTTTCCCCCATTCCGCTTTGCTTTTTCCTCCACAGAGAAGGTTTAAAATTCAGCTGGTAGTAACAAAAATAGTATCATAAAGACAGCATTAACTCAACCCCAAAGAGGAATGACAAAGTTGGCAGAAAGTTATCCAGGCAATTTTTTGTTGATTTGTTTTGTTTTTAAGGGAGAAGTATTCTAAACCCTCCAGGTATTCCTCTTTCACCTGATAATAAACACATAATAAACAGGCCTTGCATCCGCTCAGGAAAGCAAAGGACAAAATTCCAAGCCGAAGGCCAGGATCACGTGCACTACAGTCCAAATTACCCAGGACTCTTGACACAGACCGTAGAGGTCAACCTTCACAGCTGCTGGGAGATTTGAGGAAATAGTTTGATCCACATGAAATTCTGACAGGGCCTAAGTCACATATTCAGAATAGAAATTCATTAGAGTTATCCGTGTGAAGACAAAGTAGTGAAAGAAGCTGCCATCAGGAACTGAAATAGGACAGAACGGATAGCCCGGAGCACAGTTACCACACACAAAAGACAATGCCAAAACCAAAACTCACAACATGCCATGAGACTGAAACCCCCAATGTAAACATGAGGAATACTTTCAAAAAGCAATTTACAATAAGCTAAGAAGAGAACTGAGAGGACTCAAGAACAGCCCATACAATCATGAAATATCCATTTTATGATTCAGTAAAATTTAATCTTGACCTTCACAAATTATTAAAAATTAGCAATCCAAAAAAACTATCCCGAAGTCTTTCTTCCTGATAAATCACAGAGAAAAAATATTGACCTCATAAGTTCATAAGATATTAACATGTAATGCCTTTAATCTAACAGAAGTTACCTAACATTTCTTCCTCCTTTAACTCTCACTCGACTCATTTACATAACTATTAATTTCAATTGACACTATCTGTAAGAGCACTGTTAATGACTGAGGAAGAAAAAGGAATCTTGCTATTTTTCCCAATTTACTCCTACAAATGATTTTAAAAAAAAAATTATTTCATGTGGTAAAAAATTCAAAACATTGTAAAATACTGTCAGGAACTATGAATACAGAATAAATTTTAAAAAATTCATTCGATAACTTGCCATTTTCAGCAATCTTAAGCTGATTCGTTTGCAAGATCTTCCTAAAATTATTCTTTTCTGAATACGCTGCCTCGGAGATGAATATCAAGGTGACTTTAGATTTTTTTTTTGTACCATACAGGCCTAGGGTTATTAGTTATCTTATGCTCCCCCTACTGACTCTAAAAGAAATGGCCCAAAAATCCTTTAAAAAGCTTCTCTAAAACAAACATTTAGAATTTAACTGTTCTGAATACTTTAAGGAGTTAAAAAGGCACAAAATACAATTCTGAGAAGTGCCAACTCGTGGTGGAAGTCAGAGTAGAGTAACTGTCTTCCACTTCTGCCTTGGAAAATAAATCCTTCCTGTAGAACCCACGGTATTAGTCATTTTAATCACTGAATATATCACTATACAAGGCATTTATGATATTCCTAAGAAATTTCTTCATAATGTTGCAAAGTTTTATATTTAGGTTGACAAAAAGAACTACTAAATTCAATTTTTGTACTCCTTAACAATATTTATTTATAAGCTTTTCTTCTCAGCTGAATCCACAAAACCTACCTCAAGTTCTCCGTTTACCCTTTGTAATGTGATTTGAGTAGTAATCTACTGTCAGTGTGACACAGCCACCATATTTCCTTCTCCCATTTTGAAAATAACTGATGAAGAGGTCAATGAGATGTATTTTACAAAATACAGCAGGAAAAATTCTGCTCAATTTAGAAATGACTTAACAAAGAGCTTAACATACTACTTCTATTATCTTACAACGGGAATAAGCTTCATGACAACCTACTGTTGCGCTACTCTTTTACCAGAATTTATAGCACGAAAAAAAAGTTCTCGATTGCAGTTTTCATTAAATGTCTCATTTTAGTAAGGATAATGTTAGAACATCTCCCTTCTTTTATTACACAAAACATAAAAACTTATAAGATTAAAATACAGTATTTTGTTATTTCATTGTAACATGTAGTAAAAGCTATTACTGGAGCATAATTAAATTGAGGAAGAAAGCAAATTTTATAGTAATTTTATTGCATATTAGGAATCAGTCATTTCATACAATAACAATGCCCAAAACACACCATGAAATTAAGTCTTTGTCACTGAAGACACTGAGTATGGGGAGAGATAAAATCGCTAAGCCTTGATGAAATAGAATTCCTATACTTCCAATATGGATGTTTATTCCACTGAGCACTGACAAAATCCAGGTGCTTACCAGATCAATCAGGCTCTCTTGGATTCTGTTCAGTGTGGTCCGTAATCTGCTGCTACTGAGGCCCAGTCCTGTTGATTCAAACTGGAAGAAATATAGTCTTTTTAAGTTTGGAAAAGAAAAATCCTTGGTTCAAGCTGTACGGCAATATAGCAAAACTTCAGTTTGTAAACACAGGTTACAATTTACTTACAGGAAAGTTTCAGTACATAATCACAACCATACAAAATGAAAAAAAAGTCGATAGAGGTCACTGCACTTAACACAGCACTAATGTAAAGAATGACCTGAGTACATCTCATGAAGATGACAATTCATCATTCACACCAATGAGAAATCAGTATCCTTTATGGTTATAATACTGTCTTTGCGTGCAGAACTCTTGAATTTTTCCATCCTGGAAACCAGTCTGAAAGAGTGGAGTCTCCCACTGCGTCACACCACGCACAAGTCAAATGTTCCTGGTTTCAATCTCTCTCAAGCTATGTAATTTTTCGTAAACCCTCATTAAATATCTAAATTGCATATGCAAAATTATATATTTATCTTCACATAACAAGCATTACTTAACGTTTACAAAGATCTACCTAAGAAACGTGCCATCTTCATGTTCATGACTCAGAAGTACTATGGGGCAGATGTTCAGCTGGGATAAATCAATATAGCTACAGTGATTTCCATGTAAATGCAATGATTTATATCAGCTGAGGGTCTGACCCAACATATTTAATTACACAGCTACTTATTTTCTACTTCAAATTACAAAAAACATAGAACAAACTAACAAAACAAAAGAAGTGGAACTGGGACAACTAAGAAACACACATTTATGTCCAGGCTCTAGAAGTATTGGAATACAGTTCTGGTATGTGATTCACACCAAAAAAGCAACTTGCTGAACAATATTTAGAGCACTGTTGTCCATTGAATTAGATTCCCTTTCAATACACTGAATTATGGAGGAAAGGGTTCAAGTTTCTTCTCCCCCTCACTCCTTTTTAAAAGCAAAGTGGAACAATTTAGGTTCCTATTTACTGCATCTAAGATGGACGTCTGCCCTAATTTTCCTCCATATTCAGTGGAAATTTATGCCTGAGCTAAAATCCCCTTGGCAGTGCCAGGCTTCCTCCCCTGAATACGCAGAAGTCTACAACCCGATCTAGAAGACATGAATCCCTACCAAACGGTCTATGTTTGACAAAAAGAAGTGTTCAACCTTTTGTTTTTTTCTGGTGAATTAAACTATTTACAAAATTAATTCGTATTTTTCTTCACATTTTTACCATAGAAATGTCAGTTCCGAGCTGCCTTTTATTTTGTAGGAAAATGGGTGAAAAAGAGAATCATTCTTTTCTTTAAAAAAAGACTGACTCATAACTTCCCAAATTATCCGTGTTTCCTCTTTAAGGTCACGTACCAGTTTTTCAAGATATGGTCATAAGGACTGTGAATTCAAGACTGGCCATTCCCCTTGTTAAGGCATGAACAAGCAGAAGGAAAACCGTGCTTAAGAAAAAAATATATAGTATTAAAAATGTATTTGCAAATATGAGCCATTAAATTTCATTTTTAAAAGATTTGCTTCTGTACCATCAAAACTACATAATCCTTCCTCTTCACAACTTTCAACACCTAACTTAAATATCAATAACTTTCAATTACTTATTTTGGTAGACTTTTTAAGGCAATTTCACATTTGAAACATACATAAAGATGTAAAAGCGAATTTAAATTTCCATAAAACATGACATCTCTGGAACTCCAGATTGATTACATGACCAGTCACAGCCTGAAGTCCGAGTTGTGCATCCATGCATATAAGAAATAAAATTTGGATTGCTCAGTAATTTTTTCCCCAAAGGACAGAATATCGTGACTTCACGCAGAATACATCAGTCATTAGTACTGAACTGTCTTGCTTCCTAAAAGTTTTTGTTACTCCTATCCGCAAAACGATAGATATTTTAATTTCACAAATTGATGATCCAGTAAGCCATACATAATGGTAAAAAGTAAAGTATCAAAGAAATGACAGAATAATTTTGCTATTCAGCAATTCCACATGACTCCTTAACTAAAAAAGTGTTTTCTGTAAGAGTATGATTCATTAATTTTACAAATATTGTAACGTTTTGTCAAAAAAATTAAAACTTACCTCAAATTTATTCTGTTAAGGAAAGACTATTCTGCGGCATGTTCGTAAACGTCTTACACTTTAGTGAGTAGTTATTAAATAGACTGTGTTTTGCTATTAAGTTGCTCGATAATTTGAAATGAGGAGGAAAAAGAGCCTTAATTTGCATCCCAGAAATGAAAATAGCATTAAACCAGCAATTTTGCTGACAGGGATGTGTAGCTGTTACCAGTGAACAATGTCAAATACCAAATGCATAGGATAATCATCCTACAATGTTCTGGAAACAGCAATGACTTATCAACATGTAAGTTCTGAATCCTTGCTTTTCACTGAATTAGCATTGAACTATGTACAATTAACCACTTTCCTTATATGTGTGCTAACAGGCACAATACGCACACAAAGTTTTGGGCACTTAAAGAAGCTATATTACCAACATACTTTAAAAAATGCATATTTTTAAAAAAGAACACTTTCAGTGGTCTAAATCACATACCATCAACCATCTCTACTTTTAAGAAGTTTATAAACACTATGGGAGGTGAGGACATTAAAGCAGCATTACAAGAGGGTTTATTACATTCATAGACCCTTTGTAAGCATTACGTTTCCCATGGAAAATCATCTCTCAAAACAAAAATTAGGCACGCTACAAAAACATCACAATTTTACCCATCTGCTATGTTTACCTGCCTAGCACTGTGCTGTTCTCTGTTAGAAGTAGAAAGTGAGGAACTCGGTATGGGCTTTAAAAAACACAAAACAGGAGGTGCAAAAAAAATAAAAATAAGTGTAATACCATGTGAATAACAGAACAGCTGATTAAGCCAACAAAAAAAAAAAATACCACCCAGCTTCTAAACACAAACAAATTGCAAATACATTTGTCCTGCCAAAGAGAACAGCTCAAAACCATTTAGAACCGTATGCTGAGAGACTGAAAATCCAATCCACTTTGCCAACAGATGATGAAGAATTTGGAACCCCATGACACTAATGCTTGTGGAGTAATTAAGGGGCCAAGGGAGGAGAAAGTTTTTACATGCAGCTTTTCATAAATAATTCTGTTGAAAGTTGATTTGTGTTATATAGAGACATTGCCTACAGCATTTATTTCAACTACAAGTTCACCCAAAAAAATGAAAACAAAAACATTCTCATTAATGCAGTTAGTTTGACAGAAGAATACTAGACCTAGAGCAGTGTATTTCAAACATCTTAAACCTGAGTTGCTACTTAACACATACGCCCCCCCCACCCTCTCTTCCTCCTTCTGCTACTTTTATTTAAGTTAGAGAAATACATATAGAAAAATTAAATAGCTTCATACACTTTAGACACCAAGCCACCACTCTTTTCCCACCCACTCTCTTGCTCCCCCAGTTTCTGCCATTACTTTTAAGTAGTGCATGTTGTCTTCCCTCCTTTCAAGTACTGCTGGAAAGAGACTACAGAATCTATTCAGAACAAAATAGGATTCATGTCCCAGTGATGATGATGTTTCCAATACTTACTCCCCTCACTGCTGATCTAATAAGCCTTTTCTTACTCCTGCATTCAAATCTAGGCTGATGCCACTGTTTTTCCTGGAGGATCATATATCCAGTAGTATTCTGAGTAAAGAGATCCTCTGTATTCTCATTTTGTGTGCACAGTGATGATGTGAAACAAATAACGTTTCTACCTACCGTGTCATTTCGGCCAAAAAATGTATAGACTGCATACAGATAGTAATCAAAGAGCTGGGACATGAAGTGGATCACATCAAATGCAATCGGTTTCAGAATATTCATCATCTGCATGTATTTCCCTTAAAAAATAAAAAATAAAAACAGAAGATCAGTTTTCTCAGTACAAGTGCTACAAAATCAGTGATAAGCTTGACAAATTCAAAATCAGCTTTACAGGGTTTATTATTTAGCCTTTAACAGTGAGTACAGTGACTTAGCATTATCTTAGAAAATAGAAAGTTTAAAAAACAAAGCCATATATGACAACTGAGGCATCATAAATGACTTCTCCAAAATGTGGATGTTAACACATATTTAAGTGACTTGAATCATCCATGGCTTTCTCATACCAAACATCAAAAATACGTAACCTCCTAGTTCCTTCAAAAATTTGTTTCCTTTAGCCAAAAAATAATAATCCCATAAAGTATTCTATAGTACATACAGAACCACTGAAGATTTTATGTACTGGAGTGTATGTTTATAGATGTACGTGTACATACATACATATATATACATACACACACACATATATGTATACACACACACACACTTTTCAAGCAGTAGAAAAGTATAATATAAAAATATGCCCCAGATTGGATTTCATCCAATGACTCTAGGAATACACAGTTCACCTCAGCAACATATCATTCTCCTACTTGTCTTCATAAGAAGGTGGGGGGGGGGGGGGGGGGGGAAGCACTATAAAGGATGCTTAAAAGGTCCAGTTTCCAAATAAGAAGGGATACTTCCAGCGTAGGTACTTCAAGAACTGCAAAATAACCCCTCTACCACCACCAATATAAAGAAAACCCAACTTATAGATTGTGCTGCTCCTAAGAGGGCAACCGCGGAAAACCCTGTAACTTTTAACCTTGGGGTTCAAGAGAGGCCTTGAGAGCTTCTAGAGCAGGCTGGAATCAGCAGGTTTTAATGACAACCTCAACATGCCGCAGGCTGAAGTTCCAAGCTGTACCTCTTGGACATGTAATACCCAACCTTGCTTCTTCCTTAGGGCAAAAGTTAACAAGTACTAAAGTCCTAGTTCAAATGTCTTCACTGTTACTCTGGAGAGACCCCCAAATGCCCAGATGTCGTACCATTTCTGAAGTTAGATACATTTTTTTCCTTCCATATGAACATAGCTTTTCAAAGACACATAAATCAATGTCAGTATTTTTTGTGCAAATTCTTTCCTAATATATTGAGAAATTTTCTAGCTTTTCATCATATTCTATCTTTTCTCTTATTTTCATTGTTAACGGTGAGACCACGGCCCTATTCAGGGTTAAGAAATATCTGAGCACTTTTACTTTAACCTGAGTAAAGCTCATGCCCTGTATCAATAAGCTCTTTTCACCTTACACTTCAAAGTCAGCCTCCTGCAGCAGCTGCAAACATTTTCTTTGCACCTGTGGATTTATTCTCAGGTATCTTTTGTTGCCACTAAAGATCACAAATGCTGATTGCATTGGCTGCATTTCCATTTAGGAAGAATCAGACACTGTGGCTGATGAGAGTCAAAGAAACAAGCTGAAATATAACAGTGAAAAGTTCCCTACTACAAATTCATGCTCTTAGGGATAAACAATAACTTCTGCTATAAATTGAGAACTTATCAGAAATGGTTGCACAGCAAAGAGATTTGGGTGAAACTGTAGGATGCCAGTGTCAAAGCCATGAAGAAGGCTGATGAGAATTACGGATGCAGCAGGCATTTTTAGTAAGAGAAGAAGGTTCTGTTGCACATAGTACTATTGATCAGGAAAATGGAAGAATTCTCAAAAGAGATTCAAAGAGCTTAGCTTATTTTGCCTAGCAAGAGTGACATAGCAAACATCTCTATATACTTATTTGAGATTAACCGTTCTTCTCCCTAGTACTCAAGTTAAAGGATGCCACCACAAGATAGAATGAGTATAAAATCATCAAGAACAAACAGAGACTGAAAATTTGGAAGACAGATGTTCTATAGTAGTTTAACAAAAAAACAACAACAACAGGCAGGCAGGGTAAGAAACCCAATAGTTCTAAACGCACACCCCACATGTTTCTAGAGGAACAGACTGACAGAACAGGGGACTTGCTGACAAAAAAAGTTTGTAGTAACAGTCCAACCAGTTTTGAAGGAAACCACTATCTGTGAACCACTATCTGTTTACTACTTTTCACCATATTAGTTTTCTATTTTACTAAATGCCCTAGAGCAGGGGCTGGCACATCCAGGCAGAAGAATAATTCCTTCTCTTCCTTCCTGCTCTCTCTTGTTACACATTGGACTTCTGGAGCGTTCTTCTCCCACATCTCTCTGAACCACATCACCTACTGTTCCTGGCTGAAGCTCCTGCTGGTAGTTAAAAAACAAACACCAAATGCCACCATCCCCCACCTCCAACACCCCCCACCCTCAGGACCTTCATCCATAAGGTAGGTTTATGCACTAACAGTCAAACTAATCATAGGATTTGAATTCAGAAATGAATGTTTCCCCTCCAAGTCCAATTTCTAGGGCCTATTTGTTGTCATTGTTTTGTTTGCTAGCATACAGCATGGTGTTTCTTTCATGGGGCCATATGAGAAGTTAACTTTAGGATAGCTCTCGTACTGCACAGACCCAAGATTTCCGTCAGGCTTCCTGCTTTCCATCTCTGTATTAAATACTCCAAGTGGAGGAGCTCCTCTACACGCTATTCTGACCTAAGTGTCTACTGCAGGGCTGCTTGCAATTTCAGAGCCCTGGAGTCAACCACCTAAAAGGTCCCTTCTGGTCTTAACAATTTCCTATGACCAGCAGCAAGGAACATGCTACGCTGGCTTGCTGAAAACTGACATCCCATTTGCCCTATTAGAGTCCAAAAAACAGAAAGAATATACAACCACCTTTGGGTTATTATAGTAACATACGGCAATTTCTAGACCAAACTGCAAACGGAGTTCATTCAGTACGTGGGATATAAAAGATCATTTACCAAAATGTCACGTTCCAAAACACGTTTCGATGTGACAGGTTAGAAAAAAGTCCATGAGGGTGCCATAATCATTTCTTTTTCCTGTAGTCAGCAACACTTTTTTCAAACATAATACCGTGTCCAGCAAATTAATTTACTAATTGATACAGATGATGACGTTTTAATGTAAAGAAACTGAGTAACAGAGCAACCAAAATAGCTATTGTAGCAGATTATTTGATTTTTTTTTTTTTAAACAATTATTTGTCAGCTCAGTAAAGGTCACATTAACTTCAAAAATACATGATACAACTAGCCTTATGGTAAGAATCAAGCAAGAACTTGACATTACTACTTTCCAGATGTCTATATAGCTTAAATCACCTGCTTGAGTATTACACATCTAAGCCCCAGTCTGCTAACATGCACAAGTATTTTTTTTTATTTTTAGGTGGGGTTTTTTTTGAGATTTGACACTGTTATAATACTGACTATTTGGTAATTTAATCCAGTTACTAACTGCATGCTTATTAAAGTTTTGACTTACAAGACAGTTATTTTCATGTATATCAGCATTACGAACAAATTGAAAAGCAGATGTTAAAAGTTCTGTTTGTCTTCCAAAAGAGAAAAATTAATGCAGCAAATTCCAGCACAGTCCACTGTGGAAATTCAGAGATGTCTGGAAAAGGATGACATCCTATGAAAGCAGCTGTCATCTTTGTATGTGCTATCTCAATATTCTGTATTACCACACGCTGATTTTTTTCCACTTACTCTTTGTGCTAAACATGTTTTTCAAACGTGCATGCAAGCCACAGACATAAGGGCAATGTGTCATATTCCGCACAGTTAGATTTCCTAATATCTGTGCAGCTGGCATAAATATTCAAGGTAGTCTCCTGGGCAGAATCTTATGCTTTTCCAAAGGGCTACACGCTGTACATCACCCAAGTATTGTCCCTATAAAATCTTTTGATGCCAAGAACATTTCTCTATGACTACATCACTCAGCATCTTGACACAAGTGTTCCAAGAACATTTCCTCCTAGTTTCTTTTTCTAGTAGCATGCCAACTTTTAACTTCTATACATTGTTCCTTAGTTGTACTAAAGTTTATATTTGGGGTGAAAAAGGGTGTATGAGAACATTTCCAAACAGGACTAACAGCGTAAACCCATACCATGCTAGAAATTTCCAGAAATATTTGAAAATACCATTCAGGGTTTCAGCAACTCAAAGTAGCTAGGCTTTCTAGAGGCTCTCCCTAATAGGGTTCCCCCCTTCAAGTGCAGTCAGTATTCCCTGCACTACTTTTACTCTCAAAGACAGTAAGTAGCAAGTACTCTATCAGACTTAGATTAGTCTGATCATTTAAAAAAAAAAAAAAGGTACTAATACCTCCTGAAAAATAGGTATTTGAATATTAATATATCTATGGTCATCAGTAAAATCATTTCCTAAGGGGTCTCAAAATTCCAAACACTCCTCTTTCTATGATAAACACTAGGAGCTAAAATGCCATTTTGAAGGAGAAAGTGAAAAACCCATAGTAATGATATCACTTGGAGGGACTGCATGATTTTTTTTTGAGGTTCCATTAGGTGCTATATTCGGTGACCTCTCACTTCCTTCAGCTACATGTTTTCTGCTGTGAGATCTTTCACCATCATTATTATTTTCCTAAGAGACAGTAGGTTTTAAAGCAAACAAAATGTAACAGTTCCTTCCCAAATAACCTTTAGAGCAAAAAGAAATAATAAAGAAAAAAAGCTTTAAAAAGCCTTTCTCAAGTCAGAATGACATTAACTAAAATAAGAAGTCTTCCCATGTATACAATGGTGTAGTCTTTATTTATTCTCACTGACATAGAAAATCTGGGTCAAAATATTCCATAGACATTTAACAGAGGCTCATTCTTCCTTTGTATTTTAAGTCAATACACTAGGTCACACAGAAAAAATTAACCATATAAATTAATCTAATGGTTACTTTATACTGGAAGCAGACATACAGAAATACTTATCTGGCTTATAAACTTGAGGGAAAACCATATAAACTGAGCTGTTCACTCAAAATTGAACTTAAATGGAGAGTTGTAGCAGCTCCCAATTCAGATATACACAGTAACT